CTGGTCAAAAAGGAGGAAATATTCTCTGATCTCTTAGCCATATTTAGGAGAAAGATAATATTTTTCTAAAAGCATTCTGGGAGACAAACATGGGAAGTGATCAAACTTGGAGGGTGTTGGTAGATGTATATCTTCATCATTTATATAAGGAACAACATTCTCATTCCAAATCTTTTGACCTAATCCCAAAGATATCATTAATTAATTAGCATAGAGTATAATCACTTATTCAATAAGCAACTTTGTGTTTTGTGCTCTAACTCTGTCATATTTAAGAAGTCAAAATTATAATAAAAAGAAACAGCTAATTCCATATGCGAAACAGCTGACCTGAATATTCAATTTTCATCTCATTGGCCCAACTTTGACAAATGCCAATAAATGGACAAGTCCATATAATTGTTAAACTTTTAATGGATCAAACTCCAGCCCACTCTTTTTCATCTCTGGATCTCTTTCAAATGGGTCATGGACTCGAATGTTATAAGATGAAGGCGGGAGAAACAGTTTCCGAATATAGTAAAAAGATTATCTGTTTGTTTAAGGGATGAAAAAGCGAAGCTTTCTCTGAAAATTCCAATATTTTATTAGGCAATTTAGGATTGCCAGTACCTGTATCTCCAATATTTAAGATTCGTTTTCAACCATATCCAAACTTCACCTTCGTTTATTGGTTCCATTTTCTCTGAAAATTCCAATATTTTATTGGGCAATTTAGGATTGCCAGTACCTGATGTTTTCAGAATCTGTATACACATTTTCGGATGAGAAAATTACAAGAGGGACCCAAGTGCCAATAAACTGATACAGGTTTTTCTTTTGTTGTTCTATGACCAATAGAAAATGGATCATGATTATCCATTTTTTTTTTTTTTCAAACCGACTCTGCAAATCTTTCAAAACTAGAACCATTTACCAACGCGAAAGAATTTATAATGGAGGAGTATTCACCCATTTCATGGAATCTCTCACAAGTCACAGGCTTCCACCTTTTCTCCAACTTACCCAAAGTGGATTTGTGACTTTATAATAATGGGTATACTTTTATGATTGAAGACAAATGTATGGCACTGTTTATAAGAGCAAAAAGAAGAAATAAACATATCACCAAATCTTAGAGAAAGAGAGATTAAAGTGATAGTTAGTTGTTTGTTTGTGACAAATAATATATTAAAAAAGCAAGCATGAGATGAGTGGATCGTCTAACTGTTAAGAGTTGGAGTTGGGTGCATTTCTGAGGAGGAGTCCACGTTTGAAAGAGCAGTCTTAAAATGAGCCAAAAGAAATAAGTACGAAGGAAATTGAAAAAAGCCTTCATTTTTATAAATACCACTCGCTTCACTGTNGTGGTTAACAATGGTTACTTTGTGATGATTGATTAATTGAGATTTGAGACTCCCTCAAGTCTTCTATCAACTTATTATGAAAGTTAGATAATTCATTTTTTCAAGTAAACTATAATTAATAGGCTTAGATTAGACAGAATAAGACTCTTCTTAGAAATCAACTAATCTCCCAAGGCCTTGAAGTGATGGAGACTCGAATCACAGTAACTCATGTTGAACCTCTTCGTTCTTTTACCATTAGACCACCCAACGGTGTTTACTTTGTGATGATGGATGTATTGAGATTTAAGACTTCCTTAAGTCTTGTTCTTGCAAGTAAACTATAAGAATAATACAGTATTACACTTATAACAAAGTGATGTGCCATACAAATACAATGATCGAGAGATTCAACTTTTTAATTAAAGTCAAATTTACTCTTCTAATCATGATATGGCATATTACTTTGTACATATATCTTTATAGACTTTATAAGTAGAGTAATACTCCAACTATAAAGATAGAATAAAACTCTGCTTAGAAATTATTTTGATTTAATAAATTATTAAATTAGAATTAAAGCTAACGAGGGTCCAGGCAGAGGTCCAAGACAACCTTGAAAGGAACTATTTCTGGTCAAAAAGGAGGAAATATTCTCTTAGCCATATATAGGAGAAAGATAATATTTTTCTAAAAGCATTCTGGGAGACAAACATGGGAAGTGATCAAACTTGGAGGGTGTTGGTAGAAGTGTATCTTCATCATTTATATGAGGAACAACATTCTCATTCCAAATCTTTTGACCTAATCCCGAAGATATTATTAATTAATTAGTATAGAGTATAATCACTTATTTAATAAGCAGCTTTGTGTTTTGTGCTCTAACTATATCATATTTAAGAAGTCAAAATTATAACAAAAAGTAACAGCTAATTCCATATGCTCAACAGCTGACCTGAATATTCAATTTTCATCTCATTAGCCCAACTTTGACAAATGCCAATAAATGGACAAGTCCATATAATTGTTAAACTTTTCATGGATCAAACTCCAGCCCACTCTCTTTCATCTCTGGATCTCTTTCAAATGGGTCATGGACTCGAATGTTATAAGATGACATCAAAACAAAACTGAAGGAGGGAGAAACAGTTTCCAAATATAGTAAAAAGATTATCTGTTTGTTTAAGGGATGAAAAAGCGTAGCTTTCTCTGAAAATTCCAATATTTTATTGGGCAATTTAGGATTGCCAGAACCTGTATCTCCAATATTTAAGATTCGTTTTCGACCATATCCAAACTTCACCTTCATTTATTGGTTCCCTGATGTTTTCAGAATCTGTATCCACATTTTCGGATGAAAAAATTACAAGAGGGACCCAAGTGCCAATAAACTGATACAGGTTTTTCTTTTATTGTTCTATGACCAACAGAAAATGGATCTTTATTATCCTTTTTTTTTTTTTCAACCCGACTCTGCAAATCTTTCAAAACTAGAACCATTTACCAACGCGAAAGAATTTATAATGGAGGAGTATTCACCCATTTCATGGAATCTCTCACAAGTCACAGGCTTCCACCTTTTCTCCAACTTACCCAAAGTGGATTTGTGACTTTATAATAATGGGTATACTTTTATGATTGAAGACAAATGTATGGCACTGTTTATAAGAGCAAAAAGAAGAAATAAACATATCACCAAATCTTAGAGAAAGAGAGATTAAAGTGATAGTTAGTTGTTTGTTTGTGACAAATAATATATTAAAAAAGCAAGCATGAGATGAGTGGATCGTCTAACTGTTAAGAGTTGGAGTTGGGTGCATTTCTGAGGAGGAGTCCACGTTTGAAAGAGCAGTCTTAAAATGAGCCAAAAGAAATAAGTACGAAGGAAATTGAAAAAAGCCTTCATTTTTATAAATACCACTCGCTTCACTGTCACTGCTTGTCGATAATGGGCTGTAGATTGTTTTAGCTGAGTTGAAGTTTTGGATTCGGCTCATGTTTGTTTTGCCATTTGAATGGGTGGCGCGCCTAAACAAAAACTGGCTTGGCTGCATTAGTGGACAATCAGAAGAATTTGGAGTAGGAAAAAAGTTGGAGTTAGTGGATCCACTGATGCAATTGAAAAGTAACAAGAGTCCAATAATATAAAGTAATACACCAAACAAAAGTGGTCTCCCTGCCCCTCCTTTGTCATATTTTACATTAATATCCTCTTATGCTTGCTAATATTTTCAAGAAATTCATAACAACCCATCTGAATTCTATTCGTGGTTGTAAATTAATCCATTAACATACCATTTACTGTGAGAAATCAAAATTGGTGGACTTGAACAACACAAAATCAAATCAAGTTGATAAGCAACATCATTGTAAGTTGTAACAAGCTTCAGAATGAGAAGCATGGGTTCATATTGAAAATGGTCAAGTCATTAGGTGAAGGGCAAGATGGTCATCTTCAACCATAGGGAGCAAGCAAAGCAACTTTTAGTGGTGAAATTTTTAAGAAAAGTGAGGGTGGATAAGTGAGTAGATGAATTATTCAGTTAAACTTCAGATCACCATTTCTCAATCATCATCAGCTATTTAAAGCCTATCGCAAAAGACTAAACTTCCCCACTAGCTTTGTTAAGAGTCCCATTGGATGTTGGAAATCGTACAAACCAGCCTATCAATTTTGTTGAAGTTAATAGGCATGGAAATCTTTTGGGATGAATCATTCCATGGATCTTAATAAAGCATTGGGGGGTTTCGGGGTGAGGGAATTGAATCTCTCTCATCACTCTCTCCTCCAAAATTCAACTGTTTGTCTGTGCTTAGCTTAGCCATCAGGTTTGGTTAATGCATGGCAAACCGGCAAGTCACAAAACGGCATTGGGCTCGGTTTCGAGTCTTGTTATGTTATGGCTTTCTCCTCTTTTTATATTTATGTATATGTAATGTTGTAGTTCCTGCATGAGATTGCAATAAAAGTTCATGTTTTTATAAGCAGAACCTCTCAGCAAGCTGATTTGCTTGCTGCATATTAAGTAGGTATGTTATCATCTTCTCTTGCTCTCTCTTTCTCTTCTTCTCTGTGCATGTTTTTTGTCTCATTAAATTAAAGAAGATTCTGCTTTTGCCATTATAGCTCAACTTCTAATTCTTCCTTCAGTTGTGAATACTGGGAAATTTCTGGGAATTAACTCGTTCGACATTGGTACATTTATATTTATTTATTTATTTTACACATGCAACTCGTTAATTAGGGGCAAGAAGATACCCATTTACCAGAACGGAGCCATCTAAGAAACAGGAGAAGTTGGTTGATAAGGAGAAAAATCATAACAACATTAAATGTGCAAATGCAGTAACAAGAAATGACAACTTCCTGTGTTTCAATTAGAAGCATAATGACAGGTTTCTTCAATAATCAATAGGGTGTCCTCTGAAAGTTATAGAATCTGATAGTCAATAGTCTGCTGAACAGCCAACAAAGAAAACAAGTTACACATTCTTCGCCATTAACGGAGTTTTTGATAAGTCTGATCACTGAAAACAAATACCACAAGGGACATAAGCCCACTATGGAAAAACCCAGTCACAGATTCTTGAGCCCCCAACCTTGCTTTCAGTTAATACATCACTAAAACTACATATTTTTAGCCTCAAGTAAAATTGTAACTTGAGAATAATCTAAAATTCTTACCAATATCCTCCCAATTTGGAAAACCTAATTATATTGTTTGTAATTTGAAACGTTAATATGCAAAATCCATTTGTACATCTGCCTGTTTTGCACAAACTTGATGTATACTATTCTAAGCCGAATTAAAACTCATAAGTCATGTGAAATTGGCAGGAAAAATCTAAAAGAGTACAAGCAATTAATTATTATTTAATGCCAGTTTGTATACAACTCTGTTCAGTTTCTCCAGGATCCGATTCCAGCTTTCAAGAGGGAGGCGTATAACAATTCATTCCAAGAGTCTGGTACTCCAGGCAAGCACCAATGACTGCAATCTTGAACTCGCTCAGCAGCAATTCGTTCTTCGGCAGTCTTGTATTCCATTCTATATATTGCCGGGTGCCCATCTTTTCTGAAAGCAGTAAGTCTACTTATGTTCAAATATACTACTGGAGTTTTCATTTCCGGAAGCACATGCTCCAGAGCTCTCATTTTTGAAGGATACTTAGTTAAGTAAGTTCCATTGAAGAATGGCTCAGTTTCTTTGTGGCACTGTCCTCCTGAGTTCCATGGGCCTCCTCTGAAACCACATCAAGCAGTCAGAAACCTTTTTCCGCAGATCACATGATCAGATAAACAAAAACGGGAATATTCCTTATAACTTGTTAATTTGTATATCTACTGCCCTTATTTTCAAACTATAAGATTTTAAAATGAGAACTATAAATTATTAGATTTTCACATGAGAACTCTAATAATGATCCATAAAAATACAAAATCTTTCATTTAGAGATAACAGCCAGAATGGATAATTACGGCCTTAGTTTTGCCTGAGAAGGTCAACAAATGGCAAGATCTAGGAGATTGTGCAATATAGCATTGGAAAATACACTAACCTTAAGTATAAGGTTTTATTAACATGCATTCTAAACAACTTGCATCATAATTCACAATTCCTCCTTTGTTGAACCATGATACATAGTATGCAAACCAGTAGTAGAAAGGTAACCATCTTAAAATAAGACAAAGCTGTTTTTCAATGAATAACAACTACATGTAAGATTAACCACAGAAAACAAAAGAAAGGTCAAAAAGGCAAACGGCCTCAAAGCAGACAAGGTTGGGCAGAGATACCAGGAACTATTATTCTTGAGATTTGGTCATGGAAGATTGTTTTAAAAAGTCAATAAATACAAATTTGTAAGAACAATATAACGAAAAGCACACATGGTGTTCATCCATTGCATAAAGGTAAGTGAAGGAACATACAATCGTATACCTAAAATGGGAGACAGAATATCCCCTGAAGAAAACCTGAGTTCGATGGCTATCAATGTTATTGTCAATCCATCTGGCCCAAGTGGTGAGTGCTCTCTTATAAGCTTCTAGCACCTTAAGTCTTGGGTGCACATAGTTACCTTCTTGGTAATAGTCTTCTCTGTGAACCACAAAATACCAGAAAGAAAAAAGAAAGATTTAATAACTTGACTGGCACTCTAAATTTCAAATGACAAAATGAATAACAATGTCATGCAGAAAATTTTGAAGCAACAGAGCACAAAAACTTTCTTTTCCATATCACTTATTTTCTTTCAAATAATAACTTTATTAAACTTAAGTCATCGTTTAACAATTTTGCAATATCAGAATGATATATGTAAACAATATGAAACAGTAGTGCAAGACACCAAATTATGAGATTCACCCTTTAGAAGTTTTCTCGTGGGTCCACCAATGACCTGTATTGAAGATAATGATGTCAGCATCGTGGTACATTGAAGTTGTCCGGTCCATCAAATCCAATCTTAGTGTTTCCATGGATCCATTTCTACCCCTAAATGATGATTCTCTAACAAGAAATGGCGAGCCAACAAAATCCACAGTACAATTATAGTCCTACAAAAAACAGGAAATGAATCATCTGATAGATGGATGCTTGTAAAATAAAGTATTTCTTACACTAAATGAAGGATCCCCCTGAAACTTGCCTCAAATAGGAAAGCATAAAAACCGTTCTTTTTAAACTCTGTCTTTCCAGAAATCTCATAAACTCTTTTCTTGTTTCGGACACTATGGCGGAGTATACACACTAGAGATTCCCACATGTTCCGATTCAGTGAATCTCCCACAAAAACCAGCTTCTTGTCTCTTAATCTCTCAAGAAAATCAGTTGCATTCAAACTGGAAGCAGTCAACAAAGAGTCAAGAACAATGTTATATTTCTACCCAAACACTCCACTGCATATGTACAGAGGCTGGTACACGATAGAATCACCAGCACATTTTATCCACTAACCTCCAAAATGAAAATAATGCATAGATAAAATCCCCAACTAAAGTGATGGAACTTTAATCATAATTCAAACATTAACCACATAAGTCTAAATAAATCACAGAAAGTTAACATTGTAAACTTGTAGCCTTTCTCTGCTGATGAAGTTTATTACTAACACAAGTTAACCAAGAACTGTCTATACATATCACAGGAAGACTAATGGAACTCTTTGGGTAACATTCAGTAGCAAAACAATTTTTCTATAATTAAATAAGACTTGTAAGCATGTTGTTATCAGTTAAGCTTTTTCATCAACTTTTGTTAACTATAAATCATTGAAATCATAATATGAGTGCACTTTCAACACCAATTAAAGGTAAAAGAATGGAGATAGATTTCACCTGGGGATGTCACACCCGTATGGCTGCCATTTCCATTTAACATATCCATCATCTGGTCTTCCATTAATGTGACAATCAAAATCCTTATCAATGTAAGGACATGAACCCGCAGGATAATATGGCTTTGAATCATCTCTCAACCATCTACCATCAAATATATCACAATTTCCAAAAGAATTTGCATGCTTCTTCATAAGTCGAGAATCATAAGAGATTGAAATATTATTTGGCTGAGAAGCATTCCCACCATCTTGTGACAAATTACTAAAATTGTTATTATTATTAGTGACCTTGCCATTCATATCGGTAGTATTATTCACAGAATAATTCCTTTCAATAATTCTCTTCGAATACACATCTTCTTTGGCATTAAGACTGCAATTCCCACATAAATGTTCTTTTTCACCAATGAAGCTTCCATTATTATTTACCCTCTCTGAGAAATTCCCCAAATTCTTCTCTAAAATCACTTCTTCCACAATTGAAGCCAAATTATTTCTGTTCTCAGCAACAAGTGATCCATTTTGAATCCTTCCTGTTCCATCTTCGACCTTGGTAGTCAAATTCCCCAGATCAGTAATCCCTTGCCCCTCACCGATTCTTGACACATTTGCGTCTTGGGACTTGCCCACCACATCCACAGAGTTATTCACTTGTTTATTACCACCCATACTAATAGCACTACCATTAAACGAAGAAGTTGAAAATGAAAAAGGCCAGGATCTAGTAATATGAGAAGCATTTTTGCTACTAATGCCATTGAATCCTTGAAACAACGGAGCAACAATAGGAGTCTTCACAGAGTTACTAAGTAAAAGAATAGTAAGTACAATGACAGAAGCGCAAACACCCAAACCAAAGCCAGAAACTACCTTTCTTCTTGGAGATAGTCGAAGCTGTTCAGAAAAGGAAAGTTTCTTCAAATCCATTGCCTACGAATCAATGCATGCATACCCTTCCAGTAGAAAAATAGAGAGCTGAAATATGAAGAGTTAGGGATCTAAGCGAGCAAGGTTTGAAAGAGAAAAAGGACAAAAGAGTTGTGTTGTGTTGGGAGATTATAACAAAGAAATAAATGGCGTGACATTGTTGGGTTGTACTGAAAGAGGTTTAAAAAAAATAAAAAGGTTAAGTTTAGAGAAGAAGAATGAGATTGTTGGAAATAGTATCAGTTTGTTTCTACCATGAGTACCATCAGTTCCAACAGGGAACTTCACCGCCGGAATTACTAAACTGTCCGTTGTTCAACCTCTTTGAATTTACACTCGAGTCTCCGTTCAAAAATAAGAGAAATGCTAGATCAAAGCCATCTAACAGCTGTCACATGACCGATTTGTGAAAAAAAAAAAAAAAATATAAGATTGGCGTGAAATTAGTGGTATGAAATTATCACATCACTTTTATAAAGACTTTTTATATATCTAGCATTTCTCTAAGATTAAACGAGGAGTCAAAAGTTATTCTTTTAAAATTCGGGTGTGTTTGTTTTATTATTTTGAGTTGTATTTTTAAAATATTATTATTAAGTTGACTTGAGTTATTATTATGAGGTAGGATTTGAAAATTATAAAAAAACCATTAGATTTGTTAATTTAGCTAAACACTCCCAATAATAAACTAGATTTTAGCCATCACCTCCAGAATCTAGTGTCATTGTGCACGACTGGCCAAATCTGGCTAGTCGTGTACTGCTATGACCTTTTTCGGCTAGATCCACCACAGATCTAATCGTTGACTGTCAGATCTCGTCACAATTAACCGTTAACGATGACAAAAGATATGGTTGTTGTTGACGGTTAACGACGACCATATATTAGTCGTCATTAATGGCCAGATGTGGCCGTCAACGGCTAGATATTTAGTTATGGATCTGGCTAAAAAATACTAGATCGACGTACTGTTGATCAGATTTAGCCGATAGTGCGTCATTATACCAGATTTCGACTACTTTCTGATAGTAGTTGTCAGAATTTGACAAATATGGACGGGTAGGGGTGTTTTTATCAATTTATATAAAAAAAAAATTGTTGGAGGTATTTAGTTAAATTAGCAAACCTATGAAGATTTAAAATAATTAAACACTATAAGATATAATTTTGAGAATAGAGAAACAAACATATATTTTTTTAATAATAGAAATAGGGTATTTTGAAAAAAAAAGGAAACGAACGCACCCAATAACTTGATCATAATTTGAGTAACATAATCCTTAAAAACAAGAGTTAACTCGCGTTTGATACCCTTGGTTTCATCTATTCAAGATTTTGCATCAATTATTTGGGTAGAAAAAAGACTTCTACTCTAAAAACAAATCTAATAGCATGCGATGACTGCGGCGGAATTTGTTTATTTCTTTACAAATCTAATAGTCGCCAAGGGTAACTAATAGTCGCCGAGGGTATATTCGTCACCGAGGGAAAAAACAAATAGCTACCCGTTAACTGTAAAAAACGCAACACAAGAAAAAAGTGGGACACGTGGCGTTCTCATTACCGTTACACAGCCGGTTTGCGGATTGCGATGTTGGTCGGGTATGAGCCACGTGCTGCTCTTTCTTGTTCTTGTTAAAGTTAAAAGCACTAATGCGTGTACCGGTAATTGCAATTTGCAAATGCGACCCATACAAATACACGCCACGTGGGTCTATTTGGTCATAGTGGGACATAGTTGCTGAACTTTCGTAACACCGGAACATTTTCCCAAGTGAGCGCGGGAAAAAAGCGATACTTACCCGATCCGAGGGAGAACAAAACGACGGCGTCTCATGAACATTGATTCGAGTCCACTGAGATCCGATCTGTGAAGCTTCTTCACTGAATCACAAGAGAAATTATTAATTAATGATTCTACTATTTATGGAGCAAAAATCTGCAGAATTGATGAAAATTATCATTCTCTCGTAAATTTATGCAAAATCAAGCAATTGTTAATAATAATTAAGAAAACGAATTTTAATAATCTAAATATACCTCTCTTATATATATTTTTTTAAATTTCATTAAATCCATTTAATATTGAAAATGGTCCTCTAAACTTAATTAAATATTAATTTATCTAATTTTTCTCCAATTTCAAACTTTTTTTTTTCTATCTTAAATTCATATTCATTCCATTATATGATTACTGTATCCATAGTATAAATATTTAAAATAAAACAAAAAATTTCAATGATTTTAAAAATTTAGGGTAAAAGTTAAAAATAGAAAAATATATTTATAATTTATAATGTCATTTCTAATAATTTTAATTAAGTTTAAACTTGATGAACTAGATAGTAGCTGAAAATCACTTCCCTTTTAAATAGTTTTAATACTGGCAAATAAAGAGTAAACGACATATTCCTATTCGAGGTTTAGCAAAATCTTGACATATTCCTATTCAAGGTTTAACGAAATGTCAAGTTGATATTCCTAATTGCATTTATTGAAGATTCTCATCTTTAAATTGGTGACTATTAAAGGTAGTCGAAAACAGTGAATAAAGCCAATAAGTGAAGGTATGAGTTTTGTAGAAAAGGTTGTAAGGCGTTCAACGGTGATCTCGAAAATGATTTTGGACTTTAAAATCGAGTAGAAAAACCAAAAACTGCTAGTTTGGATGCTACTAACGTGAATCGCTTTTTGTTAAAATAAACCCTTCTTTGCCAAAGAAATCGTCGATGCACTTTAACATGCTAACGTGCGTCATGCTATAATTATAAATGAAGAATCTGTTAAATACGTTATTTTAAGAGTAAACATCTAGGACTTCTCTAAACCTCTAGTGGCAATACATAGTTTGCTCGTACTGAAAAATGAATTAGAATAATGCTACACTTACACAATTTTTTATACTATTTTGTAAACATCATGATGTGACATATATTACAGTCACACAAATTCTATTATAATATTAAAAATTAAAAATTTGTATGGTTATGATATATACCACATCATGAAAATCGCGTAAAAAGATGAAATAAGTGTAGCATAATCAATTAATTAAGAGGTTGGATGAGAGTGGTGTTGGGGCCTGGGTGATGATGGGACTGGGCCTGAAACAGTTAATTATGGGATTGTTGCACATTGTCACATACAATGATTATTGTTTATCCGCATAATCATTCTGTCCCTAATTCTAACCACCCAATTAACATCAAAATAAGGCAAACTACATTTTATATTTCTAATGCATTCCAAAATTTCTTTTGACAAGAAGCTCAATCAACTCAATTGATTTTCCAACCAAGAACAAGAAGAAGCTTATACATGAATTTCTTTTTTCCTTTTTACAGATGAATACATGGCATTCCCATTCAACGGCTATCAACACCAATTTCATATTACTAGTCACCTAGGACCAGAAAGCTCCATTGCTTCTACCACAAGTGATGATTCTTCTATAAAATCTGAGTATCTTCTTTCACAAGTTCGCAACTTCGGTGTCCCAGACTCCACCTTCTGCGACGCCTCCCATTTCTCTGCTAAACCATCACCTTCCAACATCCGCAATACTTCGGACATTTTTGGGCGATGAGAAGGATTGAATTGAGTGCATAAGAGGGCCACCTGAACCATTTCTTCCAACTCGATTCTGTCAAAATTTCCCTTTACATCCTTATCCACCATTTGGCTTAGCTTTCCCTCCTGATGGAGCTTCTTTACCTGCAAAATATATTAATATAGAATTTGAATTATTCACACACTACTGGAAGTTACACCCGACTCTTTGCAACTAAAAGTTCTGTCATCTCTCCCCACACATAGAATACTTAGCATTTGCAATAATGGTATCTATTAAGAGATTAGAAAATCATGTTGCTCAAACACTAGCACCAAGATTTAGAGGAAGATCAAACTACCATTAAGTACAAAAGTAGAAAGAGAATGTCAATGAATTGTGTCTGCAATGATGCAATCAGGAGGAATGTACAAATCATACAGTGGTCCCGTTGCAAGATTCTCAGGTGAAGAAACATAAAATTTCCAAGTCCCAACATATTCAACTTTTCGCCAATTTAATTTTGGATCAAATGAATTAATTATCAAAGCTATACTGTTAAAGAGAGATGAAAGTACCCGATCAAGCATGACACCTTTCTGGTTAGCTGCTCGTCCAAAATCCAAAGCCTTCTGACCTGTGATTAGCTCAAGCAGCAAGATCCCAAAACCAAACACATCAGTCTTTTCCGAAGACTGGCCTGTTGATAAGTACTCTGGAGCAATGTGGCCAACAGTACCACGCACTGCTGTGGTCACATGGGAATCTCTGTGATCCAAAAGCTTTGCTAATCCAAAATCCCCAACAACTGCCTCAAAATCTTCATCCAGCAAAATGTTGGCTGCTTTGACATCCCGGTGGATTATTTTAGGATCACATTGCTCATGTAAATAAACTAGGCCCCTGGCTGTACCCAACGCTATCCTTTTCCGCCTTGCCCAGTCCAAAGCAGGCTGACCATGAACATGATCTGAAAACCCACATTGGATGAAATTATTCTAAGGCAGACACCATATGGAAGAACTTATAACCAGATAGAGAAGTTGAAGGGAAGGTAAAAGTAACAGTTATGATTACATCAAAGCAACATATACTGAATCTTAGAGCTCCAAAAAATTACAGTTTCCCCAGGAAAATGAAGGAACTTTGACCAATTCAGAAGGATGAGTGAATGAAAATAAATGAAGAGTTATGATGTGAAACAAATCCACGGTGAGTTTCAGAAAACAATAAGCAAATATCATGTTTGAAAGTTATTTAACAAACATGACTTCTAGGTGGAGATGATCAGCATCAATTTTTGATATTATTAATATTTCATGTTTAAACTTTAAACCACTTGAACAAAATTAGAAAGCTCAGTACCTCTTAATCGGGATGCTACACTTCCATTTGGCATATAGGGATAAACAAGGAGCCTTTCATTCTCAGTCGTGCAGAACCCACAGAGCCTTAGAAGATTCCGATGGACAGCTAAACTTATTGTCTCTACTTCTGTCTGAAATTGGACTTCACCACCAGCTATATTGTAGTCCTTCAGCCTTTTCACAGCCACCAGAGTTCCATCATTCAAGCAACCCTTGTATACAATACCAAATCCACCTCTCCCCAGAATATTTTTTGAGTTGAAATGGTTGGTTGCAGTGCGGAGCTCCTTAAAGGTATACCTTCTCAAATGGCCCAAGCCTACCTCTGGGTCATATTGATCTGCCACAGAAAACATGATGTATGAGAATGCATGGATAACAGAGAATTTGAGCAAAATAAAAGCTTTTTGTCGGTGAAATTAATAATGTAGTTTGCAGCTTAACATGTGGATTGTTCATGCAAAGACACATT